TCCTTAAATTTCCGCTATTTTCAAATTGAAACAACACTCAAGACGTGTTTCAAGTAAGTAAACTTAATCTCAACAAAAAACTCCTTGGTTAAATTGAAGCGATCAAATTTCCAATGTTTACCGCCAACTCAGATAAATTATTTCTGTTTCATTCATGATTTCAGACTAAACGATCAATGGAAGAATCGACTAAAAATAACTTTGATTAACATCGTTAACGAATTGAAGAAATAAGATATATTTATGACATAATCTATGGACTTTTATCAGAGCAAAGACTATAGGATTTCGGGTTTCTGAATTTCTTGGTTAAGCTTGGCAGACTTCAACTAAACACGATTCGATTGGGTAAAAGATTTATTTCAAAGTAACTTAAGAGTCGCAATAGATATATTTGGATTTTAAAAACACAAAACAACAGAAATAGAAATGAGAAAACCTAAAACTACTATGTGTTGAAAATGATCGACTCTGTCCAGCCGTTATGTATTTTGAATGATTTTAATCCATTTCGTATAAGCAAGATACATTTTGTAATCAAGATACATGTAATATATTGTAATGATATCTACTGGTAGAGCTCGACCGAAATGAAACAAGGCTTACCTCATACATTATTTTGCCTTAATGGACCAACTTTATATCGTAACCCGGTCTCCTTCTGATAGTGATGCTTATGTCGATGCCCTCACCCAAAAATTAAATTAAGCCCAACTGACAAAATTTTACTGTCCAACCTTGTTTTTCCCCAACTGTCTGAGCATCCCAGTGAACAGCTTGTAGCACACAATATTCCAACTACTATACTACTCAGCGTACCATCTCTGTTCTTAACGACCCAGAAATATTTCCAAAGAAATTAGAACTTGCTATTTCTTTATTAGTGGGAGTTCCCATACACTGTTTGTTCACAATAAAATTAAGAGTAATTCGCTTTATTTGCGTCTTTGTCACCGTAAAACCTATTAACAAAAGCTCTTTTCTTCTTAAAGTACTCCATGAAGCATTTGTTTTCATTAGTAAATTCGTCAAGGAAAAAACGCATTTTCTGTCAAAAAACGACAAATTAGTTCAGACGAAGAACACAAAAATCCTTCGAATTGACAAGTTTTCCCTTTTGAAATAATAAGACAAATACTGATTTGAAAGATTTGGTTATCTCGCATGAATGGATGGTTCTCGTGATTTTGTACTTGGACTTTATTGAATTAGAAAGGGTTAACGCTTTTCTACAAAGAGTTTTACAATGGAACTAAGAACCATTACGCCAAACACAGAAAAAGAAAAAAAGAAATTCTAAAATGATTAGAGGTGGTTAACAAATATAGGCCAAGATTTTAGGAGACTGAACAGTTGTATTTGTTTTTCTAAAAAAAAAATTATTTGAAAATGGTTAAATAATAGTTGTGCAAAGAAGTTGTTTTGCATACTGTTTGCATCTATTTTGGACCAAATGTAATATGAAAGTTCGATGAGGTTCGATGGGAGAGGTTTGGTTGGTCGTAAATAGTAAATTTCATCGCAACAAGTCGTATCAAAGCAACAGGAAGAGTACGCATTAGCTATATCTACGGAAAAAAAGATTAATTCGTGGGGAAAAATTCATTTGCTAAACCTACGACGGAAAATATTCATTCGCTAAACGAAGTAAAATATTCATCCGCTATACCTACGAGGGACAATATTTATTCGCTATACCTACGAGGGATAATATTCATTCGCTATACCTACGAGGGATAATATTCATTCGCTATACCTACGAAGGACAATGTTTATTCGCTATACCTACAAGGGATAGTATTCATTCGCTATACGTATGGGGGAAAATATTAATTCGCTTTACGTATGAGGGAAAATATATATTCGTTATACCTACGATAGAAAATATCCATTCGCTTTATGTGAGAGGGATTGTATTCATTCGCTATGCCAACGAGGGAAAATATTCATACGTTATGCCTAGGAGGGATAATATTTATTTGCTATACCTACGAATGATAATATTTATTTGCTATACGAGGGATAGTATTTATTTGCTATACCTACGAGGGATGATATTTATTTGCTATACCTTCGAGGGATAATATTTATTTGCTATACCTACGATGGATAATATTCATTCGCTGGACAATTTGATCCGAACAACATTTCGTGTCATATACAACACTGTTTTCCAGCTAGATCAGTGATCGGCAAGGATACACGAGTTTCATAAAAATTCATATTAATCCAGACAACCGGACATTCTGGCAATTTTATCCTGTGGGATAAGTGTTTTACCACAGAAATACGTATGAATGGAACCTTACGGTGAAGATTTTACATTAAATATTTAGGTAGTCTGATATATAATTGTGCATTTCATCGCTGGCATTGATATTTACATTAAACTACTAATGGTAGTCAATTATCGAGCCGATATAGAGAAAAGGTGACACTCCATTATGATCTTGTTAAAAAAATTGACATGACAAAACATTGTATCAATAAATAATGGCAGAAAAGTCGAAAGACCTGGCAAACCTGATAAATGTATGTGTAAAACCTATCACTTTAAGAAACCAAAATAGCACCCTGATATAGAGTATCTAAAGTCCAGTTGACACGCTGACGTTGGTTACACTTTTTTTCAAAAAATGCTGTCGGTTTTCTTGCGCCTTAAAAAAGTGAATAGAAAAGTACACAGGGAAGTTTCTAGACTATGTATCGGTCATCAATTCTAAACTAAACTGACCAATAAAATAGGTGTCTATTGAATAATATTAACATTTACGAAAACATCAATTTTTGTCCTAAAATCAGTTTTCGGGAAAGAGAGAGTTTGATTTTCCCAAATGTACAGACCTAGGATGAAACAAATACTTCATTTAGAAAATGGAGTAAACGATCTGGAAATGCTGGGTATTTTTCTTCTGTTCTGATTTGAAATCGTTGAAAGGTGAGAGGTTAGATTGTTACATACTGATGGGATTTAGTTCGCAATGAACAAGGTTGTCAAGTTCGGTTTTTTTTACATATACGACAACCATCTTTTGTGGGGAAATTTCTCTTGTAGACTCTCATAATTACACAATGCTAACTTGACGAATTCAGTACGCGCTTGAGAACGTTGCCTATAATGTAACAATGAAGAATAAACAAAAGAACTTGTTCCTATGAATATGATAAGAAACTGTTTTATGTGAACTGGTGGTGTGGCATCACCATCAACTAGCCTTTTTCCATTTTCTTCTTAACACAAGACTGTCTTTCCTTTTGTTTTATGTCTCGACATTCGTATGGGACAAAACTTCCGAGGAAACTTCGGTCAAATGGATTCATATTAAGTCTTATGTACAAAGAAATATTAAGACCAGAGCGATGGTAATCTCAATACAATGACCATCGAGCAAGACAAAGCAAACAAATAACTAATAAGATAGCCTTGTTATACCCCATGTCACCAATTATTCATAGAAAATAATCATAGTAAGTATGATATATAAAAAATTCGAGTTTATTAAATTGGATTAATTTTGTGCTGTTAGTTATTCGTATATATGCAATACAATATCTCCGAGAAAACGTTTCCAAATTATTGCTCTTGCTGCAATCAAAAGTTTGTGACGCACATTCTTCGTCGTCATTCTGGGGTCGTTTAAATAAACATCAGTTATAAAAGAACCATAAATTTTATGTAAATGAGATAAATTTAATTCCAGTTCTTGTAGAAAGTATCGAATTTATTTTCTACGTCTTAAGTCGCAAATAATTCAGTCCGTCTTTAATCAAGAGAAATATGACGCGGCATCAATAAAAGGTTTAGTCATACATTAGGCAATTTCACTTTTCATATTGCATTCTCAATGGCACCATACACACGCCTACGTAAACTCGCCCATACATAGTTCAGTCCCATTTACAAACTTTTATAGATTACCGATTTCTCAACAATACCTGATTAGATTAATGAATTACAATCCACACCTCTTCCAATACCATCTTTACATAAATTGAAACCACTCGATAATATCATTCAGAACATGTTTGGAGTAAGCATTGATAACAATTCCGTTTCACGATTAAGTCACAAGAAGTTTAAGAGAGTTTTTAACATTTGGATTTTTACTTCAAAACATTAAGAAGCAGTGCTGATGGGATTTAAAAACATATTAGGATTAAAGTCTATGTAAGATTTCGGAGGTAGGTCTTGTGTTAAAAAAAATTTTCAAGTTCATATTGAATTTGTCTATTCAGGTACACTCCTTTTATAGTAAATTATATTTCTTTATATTTTTTGCTAAAAACATGATCGATTCGCTAAAGACATATAGATGATGGTCTGTTTTCTCTCAATGTTCCATCAGCTTCATTGTAAGGGATATTAAGAGTCAAATATTTCTACTGCTGGAAGAGGGCAGATTAATCGATTCTGTACATTTTTCAGTTTTAATTTGACGTTGTCTGTAATTAAACACAGATTGCTAAAACATTGATGTCGAATTTGGACCACAAAGAGAGAAACGTTTGCAAGATTAAGGTCGTGCTGGTTACATTCTTTGGTTTCATTGCAGATTATTTTTTATATTCTTAAATTTCTATGAATTGTGGAATATGAATTCTGTCGGCTGGTAACGAAATATAAGGCGTCAATCCCTTCAAACTAGATGTATCAGAAACACAACTTGCTATTGTGCATTTTGAATAACGCTTATACAGTGTCATCCTCACAGCATTTTTTTCCGAGAGGGATGTCTCCATAGAGGAAGGGCATGCTCATTTTTTCGAAATGCTCAATTAGCTACTGGGTTTGTCAAATCGACATCCCATTTATAAGTTGGTATAGTTAAAAAATGTTTACAATAGTATTGATTACCACCACACACTAATGGCATATTTAGTAAAATATAGGCAATATATTTAACTTAGTAAATTTTTTATTTCAGAAACAGCAAGATTACAGATAAGATAGGGGCTGAAGAAAGAGGAAGTTTTTATTCTGGTCACAACGACCCCACAAAATGATTTGTTCCCACTTTCACTGTCTATTATTAGCATCGTTTATAGTCTTAACAGTATCCGAAGATTTCTCGCCACTTTATTTAAATGAAGTAAGTTCTCTTTTTTTTACTCCGGGTTGTTTTGTGCTTTATCTTTGTTTCAATGTTGGATTCTTTTTCAATACGTTTTAGCGGGGGATGCCAATTTGTTTTATGAACTTCACTTTGTTAATAATAAGAAACCACAGCTCTTTTTTCAAAATTATCGCTTCTTTATGGCTGAATAGATTTTTTATTTTTTTTTTAATCTCGAAAACGAAGTTTATATGGGGGTTGGAAGAAAATCTGTTTTCTTTTTAGAATTTATTTGCCGATGATTTATATTTGATAATTGAAATTCAAGTTTTGATAATTTCTCCTTTTAAACGGAATCCTTTTAATTATATATTTTCGTGTTATCGATGGTATTATTTTAAAAGTAACCATGAAAAGATCATATTAAAAATGAAGTTAATAATTTGCCAAAAAGATAAATTAGATCACGTCGACCGATGTTTACCTGAATGTTATGAGTATATAACGATATAGTTGTCTCTATATGCACTTTACTATTAATGCTTACCACGTTACTCTTTCTGGATGAAAACCTGTCGGTTCTTCCATTATTAAATCTAAGGCAAACTATATTCTATAAGTAAGCAACGACTAATATTTTATCGTTCAGACTCCTGATAAAGATCTCAACGATTACTGAAATTCTTTCTATTTTATAATACCGTTATATTTTAATCTAAAAAATAATACGGGTGCCAAATTTTTATGACGAATTGTGCCAACGACCACGATTCGTCGTTATCAAGAATCGGGTCCTACATGACACCTTTTCATTGGTTATTAAAAAAAACAAGAGGACTGCATTTGTTAGATTACAATGGAGAGAAAAACGGAAACGTAATTTTATTATAATCTAATTTTTGTAAGATTAATTTTTTATAGACGATCAATGTTCTGGTAAAGCGAATACACGTGATGTCTTTGGATGGCCTCACTAAGTAACTTTATCTTTTCAGAATGAAGACACAAATGATTTGCTAAAAGATACAGACAGTTTACCATCGTCAAATAATATATATGATTCCATCCCGCCTGCCAGACCTCCTTTCCCATTATTAAGTTTGCTCTTTTCTAAACTGAAAATGGAAGGCTCAGAAAAACAGGCCGTGATTAAACGTGTGTTCTGTAATGGTTTTACCGGATGTGGTGGTCGTCATAGAGGTCGCAGACGACAATATACAGCCCGAATTCTAAAACGGCCTTTCTGTAATAATTGGGGATGTGGTAATGGGAAAAGAGCATTGGAAAAAGTTCCTGTGCAACCGTTTGGTAAGAATTTGGCGAGAAAACGACTATTTTGTAATAATTATGGAGGTTGTCGAGGAGGTAAAAAGAGGACTCTGTATTCTAATTGGTTGGGTAAACTAAATGGTGTTGCTGATAATTTATAAACCAAAAAGGTTAGTAATGATATATTATTAATATATAATATTATTGACCTCCAATGGAACCGTTGGTCAACGTTTGATCAACTAACTAGACGAAATATTTTTAATATTGGCAAGTAGGATATTGGATTTATGTTCTGAAAAGCTCAAAATGAGCTCTATCAGCTTTAATTTGGTACCATGCGTTATTTGAAACAATAGCGGATCATGCCCAAATACGTCTACATCAGCGGGTGGATGCTGAAATAAGAAACTCTTTGACTGCTTTTAAAGTTGCAATCTGTCAAAGTTCTGACTTATTTACTTTCTAAATTCAGTAATTTTGATTGGATTGTACTGTAGCGAATACAACCAATCAGAGCCCTCGACAGAAGGACGTATATAATGTAGCTGTATTTGCTAAGGTGCAAACCATTAAAATCACTGCATTTACAAACTTCCGTGATATAAGAAAAGTGCCTAATGAAGTCAAAGTTTTGGACCTAGTATATTAAACATTGACCATTGCAAAGATGAGAGAAATGTAGGTGTATGAAAAAATGACCACTGCGTGCTGCTGATAATATTTCAATCGGTTGAAATTATTGATGACTTCTAATTAGATGGTATTATCAATATTTCAATATAAAAACATAGTCGGTGTTAATATCATAGTTTTCAAACGAATATATTTTTTTGTAATTCATTCATTTTATGTACAGAAATTGTACTTTAAGTAATATCATGATTTCGAATTGGAGCAAGAAATTCTTGTATGGACCATTAAATGCTGATTTACCATTCTCGGTGATATTTTTGACCCTCCTTTAATAGTACATTTATTGACAATTTTCTGCATCTTGAAACAGTTTCTTCATTTCTACAGAAAATCTCTGACCAGAATTAGTTGAATTTAATGCCACCATTTTGAAAATTCTAAAATTGCTGAGATGTCGATTGATTGGTGATAATTAAAGCGTGTTCATGTAATCTAAAAACTGATTCTGAACATCTTCAAACCTTACAGACTAATTCTACCTAGTCAATATAAGACTGAGTTTCTAATCATAAGAGTCAATGTTCATTAACCCACCAATTCTATTGTTTTTCATTGATCTTTCAACAAGATTTCCTCACAATTTTATCTGAAAAATCAACAACTCAATCCACCCAATCTAATTCTTAACGCTATCTTTCCTTTTTTATCAATTTTTATTTCTCATGACTTAGCTTTAATTGTATTTAATCCCAAATTAAATCAACAATTGAAAGAAGCGGATGTGAAATGTTCTTAAGGCAAAAATTATTCTGGGCGAAAAGATTAGTAAATTCCAAGGGCAAGATATACCGGAAAATACAAATATGTACAATAATGCAAATAAAAGATAAAATAAAGATTGGCCTTGGGATAAAACAACACCTTTAAAAACTGTGTGGGCTAGTATGTCAAACAGGTAATCATCGGTTGTTGCTTTTGATTCTGATGAAAATAGCAGGATTCAAAGAAGGTTTTGTAAATTTGTATGAGTGTCGAGACACTTAAAGTTTCTATTTGCACTATTCCATTGTTTCTTTTAATTCCAGAAAATTTTATCAGATTATGACGTTATTATCGCAAAGGTCACGGTTCACCATTTTCGGAGGTTGATTTCGGTCTTGAAATTGAATATATGTACCAAAAACTGTACTAAATCCTTCAAAAAAGGTATCAGAAATTGCTCGTATTGTAGATAAGGTCTATATAATACGGTGTACGGATAATTTTTAATTGCCCAGTCCTTTATCGATCAATCGTCAATGTCATTAGAACTGTACGAAAATCCTTCAAAAAGGTACTCGAAATTTTTCGTCTTGTAGATAAGGTCTATATAATACGTGTACGGATAATTTTTGTCGATCAGCATTATGGAGGAGTCCTGAAAAAGGCGAGTCGTCAAAGTCATTTCAAACAAAGTCTACAATTATGAATTAACCACACACATGGCTAAGAATTCTAAAAATCTCAACTGTAAGCTGTGACATGAACTATCATACGATAGACCTCCAAAAATGGTAAACTTTGATCTTACACCATCCGTTGGTTCCTATTATTCAAGAAAACTACACTATATCGTTTCTTTTACAAATGCTAGTAAGCTTGAATGTTATTTGCACTAGTCTCGGTACAAGCTGGTCAAAATTTATTCTGGCACTGGCACGAATCTCTTTAATGACTTGTATCCGTCACCAATATTATATCATAAGGCGTTTTTGATTCCGCTCCAAACAATATTCATGGCGGATATCCAATCTTTAACAAATATATATAATCTTTAAATCTATTTTATGATTTTTTTACGTACATAAGATGTGGTAATTTGTGCTTCTTTTCTTTATTTGAAAACCATTCAGACTTTTCTGTCATAGTACATGAAGGAAACCTGTAAAGCCGGAAGTAGATCTATATTTTTTAAATCAAATACTTAGACGACTGATTCTCTTTAAATTAATCTAAAAGCCTTGTCAGTTGCCCCTCATTTATTCAGTTGAATAAATAACATTTTTTAGAACATTATCACTCTACTTTATGATTGAATGGTATTAATGATCCATAAATGTTGTTTTAAATTTGAATTTAAAGACGATTACGCTTAAAGGGACTAATAGACAAACTTACGCCATCCTTATTGACCAACTTCATGGCGAGCAAAGAATATGACGTTCACAGTCGCATCTTTACCCATTCCAAGAAGTCTCCGACGACACCCTGTGCTGCGCCTCGGACCAAATTGCTTTTAAGATTTAAAATATTTTCGTCCCGTCTTAAGAAAAAGGTCTGCATATATAGCGGCGGTAACGTGTGGTGTACAGTTTGGTGCCCTACCCAAACCTCTTGATTCGCTTCGCCGAAGCCCTAGTGCTACGGGATCCCTCGACAGTTGGAAATCGAAAAAGAGTAGGTTTCTTTCAATCAGGCGCATATCATTTCAGTTCATACCCACTTTCAACTGTATATACATTTTTAATCTCGCACCGTATACCGCACCTTAACCTTTGGCTCTCGTGCTTTTAAATGCGTGAGTCGTGATGCGATCCATTATAATGTGACCATTAAACTTATATAACAACATAGACTTGCGGCAAGTCTCGCAAGCGAATACGCCCACCAGCACGAGCCAAAAAAGTGAAATAACGCAATATCAGAGTTTTATGCGATATCTCTCAAGAAAATCATCGGATCCTCATCAAATTCAATAGTGCATATCTTTATAATGATATTGACACACATACAAAAGATCAAAAGAATCCTTGGAGAATTGTAGTCTTTGGGGTGGGCATGAGCAAAATAGGTGAAAAAAAACGAACGCAATATCAGAGTTTTATGCGATATCTCTGAAGAAAATCATTGGATCATTACCAAATTCAATAGTGCACATCTTCATAATGATATTGACATATTGACGTATAAAAAGCATTCATATATCGAAGATGACTTTAAAGGAATAGTTTCTCTGGTTGTTCTAACAGATGCGTTCATCTTCTTGCTTGAAACTTGCTAAAATAAAGTTGGTTTTATGGTAATCTGGAATCAATATTTTTGAAGGCAGACAGATTACTAACGATCTTTCGAAACAAATGAATGAATTACACAAAATATTTTATTGAAAACTATGATATTAACGCCGACTATATTTTATATTAAAATTAAAATAGTGATAATACCATCAAATTAGAACTCAATATCTTCTACCGAATGAAATATTATCAGCAGCACCTGGTCATTTTTTTTTTAATACGCCTACGTTTCTCTGTGAGAATGATGACGTATAATATTGACATCTTTGTCCGTCCGTGCTCTGAAATCTGAAAATGATTTTTGGCACCTCGAAAGTATCTACATCTAGTCTTCAGGCAGTCTTCAGAGTAGTAAAAAGGCTATAAAAATATTGCTGAAAATCACCCAAGTGCATGAGAACAGAAGAAAGCTATTGTTCAGAAGAAAAGAAGACATCATAACTGATATTGCATGCGTATCTAATGAAAATCGATGTAGCCTATTTGTTTGAAAAGCACAAGAAATCAATTAATTGTCTTATAAAAAAACTTACTAAAGGATGTATTTTATTTTTGTTGAGAATAGAATAGGTCTGATATTATTTATAAGCTGTAGGGTATACTAGTCTCAGTGGGTAATTACATAGAAAAGAACAGGAAGGATGGAAAATATTGTTAAATATTTAATAAGCTTACTATATGCCCAGGTTGTCTAATTGATAGTCATATAGCTATATTACGTTATAATATGGCAAACTTGATAAATACTCTGTACGTGTTACCGTACCATTGTTTCTAAATAAAATAGTTTTGATTCTTGATGGCGTACATTAGTGAAGTGAAAAAGTCTATTTATTATTTAAATAAAATATGCTTATTTCTCATTAATGAAATGAAGGAATTTACCTCAAATCAATTTGCGTGTGCCCAATTATCCGTTACTTACGATATCTACATGATTGTATAACCGAATTTCCTATAAATAAACAAGGTTTCTGTGACCAAATAACGGCGCCCCTAAAACAGATACTAAGATACACCAAATATAATGAATAACATCACTTTGGAAGCTTACCCACTTTTCATCCAATCACCAATTGGCCAACTTTCTATAATGGGATACTTATTCATTAAGAATTTCTCAAATACGTGATATTTTGAATGACAGCAAGCGAAAGGTTCTAAGTAAGTTTATAAGAAGTAAATTTTTTAACCACGAAGATTTTACTTAAATATGATCTACTTCTTGGCAATACGATAGTGCCTCACTGTAAATTATAACTGTTAAATCAATGAATACAGCCAATAAAAATACTGATTAACAGTAAGGTCACTGTTAAAATGTTAATGTAAGTGAACAATTTTCATGAATTTTTGTCACCTTTAATGAGGTCTTAACACCTTTAATCTCTTGGCGGCATTTACCTCNAATCATGAAAGAAAACAATAAGGTCACTATGCCTTGATTAACATTATGGTCCACAACAGCC